GTCTTATATAGAACCTTCATACCCCGCGTATGGTCCGAGTATAGAGTAGTATAAGCCTCCCTTATACTTCCTCATACTCCGGTAGTATAGAGTAGTATAAGCCTCCCTTATACTTCCTCATACTCCCTAGTCACATGATCTTCTGTAAGGAAGAAATCCTTGGATCGCCTAGCTACCCTAAGCGATCCCCATTTGCTATAAGAAATCTGAATGTGCCTGTCGAGGGTTGCGCCTTTTATTATGACAAGTATCACGTGAACACGTGATTCGTGACAACGAAAGACTTAGTTCCTTTAACAAAAGAGGTACGCTCTAGTAGCTTTCTAATCTATAAAGATAATAATAATAATAAGGGCAAGAATAAGGAAGATAAGGCTATTCCTACTTCTTAATTTATATAATAATATCCTATACTACCTACTCCTTCTTAAATATCCCCCTCTAATACTCTATATAAGTAGATTTAGTCTTAACTTTCTAACTTTTAAAATACTTAATATACCTTTATAAATACCTTATAGGAAAGTTAGGATTATATCTCTATAGTACTATAAGGAATTAACTTTATGAGTTAGTATACCTAAGTAAATTATAAAAATTAGACTATAGATAGTACTTAAATCTAAGGTAGTTAAGGGTTTAGTAATAGTAGTAATTAGTAGAATTAGGAATAGACTTAATTTTACCCTTTTAGATTATACTTAATGATAAATACTTATATAGCCTTGTAGGTTCTATCTCTGAATCGGAAATCTATACTATATAAATTTATATATAAATCCATTTTGTAGTAGAAGCGACCACCCCTGTATTATACGGGCTAGAAACGCCTAATTTAAAATAACTACCTAATTAAATGTACCTACTTCCGGAGCTTGCGTAGGACTAGTAGTGCTACACCTACCATTATACCTAGTTTAGGTGAAGTCTCTTATAGGTAGTACACAGGTTACGTAAAAGCCCCCCCCTAGACAGGCTCGCCAGGTACGGAAATAGTATAGAAGTATCTTAGTACTCCTCTAGAGTATGAATATTATAAACCTGTCTAAATTTAATTATTATTATTTAGCTCTATATACCTCCCCTAAATCACGTGTTTTAATTAGTCTAGAATTCCATTTTTCTATAGAATTCCAGAGCCTATTTAATAGAAGGATTCCATGCTATTTTAAGAGTACTCTAGGAGGATTCCAGATGGAATAGAATCCATGGTATTCCATAGAATATAGTTCCTTTTGCCGAACGCTGCAAACCTTTTGTTCTTCCAAATAAAGCATAAAACACGTTAGACTTGCACACGTAATTCCCCACAAAGGGAATCAAATTGAAAGTATATCTACATTGGTCGTAGGATCCTTATTTTGAGCACTTACCCCTAAATCCATAAATCTATAAATATTGTTCTCAATCCTCCCTGTAATTAATTCAGAATGACATTTTGAATTGCATGTAGCACACGGCAGACAGCAAATCAATCACTTACAAAGTGCAAGTAACCCAAGGAGTTCTAGTCTCACCAGAAACTATCAAAAGGAAAAATAAATGAGCAAAGAAGTTGAATGATTAACTTATAAGAATCAACTACAAACGAAGAAGAGTCACTACAATGCTTTGCTTTTACCAACGAGACGACTTATCCCACGTGTTACAGTGAGAGTGAATACCGGAAGAAGAACAAGGGAGAGTGGTTTGTAAGTGCAAAAGCCCTCTGACACGTGCGCTCCCTCTTTTTATACCTTCTGATAGGCGAGGATGTACGGCAGTTTAGCTAGGCTAAAGTACTTAAAGATGATACAGGTTAAATAACGTGGATGAAAAATGAAACACTGAGCGGCTGTCTTATACGAATTTACGCGTAACGCCATTTCTTGATGGAAAATATACTCGGCCAAGTTGACCGATGATAGGAGAGGGAAAAGAGTAAGTAGTAGTATCAGGTTGATATATGGAACGGTTCCAAAAACAGGAAATGGTGAGACTGTAAGTTTTTGGCTTGGAAGAATCCACGAATTAAGATGGCTTTCGTCGTAACTATTACTCACCAGTGTGGACTTATGAGACCTGGGAAATAATCTTTTCGCTAAAGGGGCGAGTTCAAAAGTCTCTGTCGAGAATGGCTTACCTGTCATGAGCGCTCCAATATATAAGTCTTGATATCAGGTGCGGCGAAACCATTACTTGAAAAGTTTGAAGGGCCAAGCCATCCAAAAATACCTGCTTCTACGGGCCAAAGTCCTCCGAAATGCCACTTCAACTCCGTTGTTAAACTATCAGTTCTCACTTCTGTCAGCAATCCTTTGAATATCTTCCTGAGCTCTCCCGCCACTTTACACCACGATGGTAGACTGACCTATCACCATGCGACATCTCACAAAACAGGAGACGCAAGTTCAATGTAGACGAAGCCGGAGTCTCTTAACAGAAGAAAATCGATTTCCACGCTGCAGCAAAAGCCGCCCACAATTCTCCTCTAAGCCCGAGTTACCCCCCCGTAAAACCCACAATTCAATAGCACAGGTTATTGTACGTATTCTTCTCACTCCCCCATCTTTTCTTTGCATTGCAACACCAACACAACACCGGCGAACATATCCGATAGTTCTTAATCACGGGAACGCTGATTGGGTCATTTCAAATCTCAAATCTCAATGTAGTAGTAATAGCGTAATCTGTGGGCACCTCTCCTTTTACGCCGAACAGGGCGCTGCCATTGCCTACTTTTGCAACAATCTTAGTCGTCAAAACACTTGTTATTCATGGGAGGTCCAAGATGATCTTTGGATCAGGGGAAATTCGGTTTATGGGGAAGGGAGGAACTTATGGACAGGATGTCAATACTGGAAGATACGGAGGCTATTTAATGGGAAATCTGATTTAGCTGTTAGCAGATAAATGACAATGATTTGAGGTTTGAAGAAGCCTGTTGCCCTCGTTGAGCTACTTCATGGTTCATAAAAGAAGTCGGGGTCAATAACGAACTAAAGACTGCTTTTGCCATAAGTGGTCTCAAGCAAGTCACCATCCAGCCACCACTTTCCTATTCACTACCCTTGCTCCCTTCCCCTTCCCCTTCCCCTTCCACGTGCCAGAATCAACTCCAGACATCCAATCTCAATACTCGCACCTTAAAGACATACGTATAAAAAATACAAACGTATACATAATATCAAACAGAAAATGGCAAAAAGACAAGCTCGGGCGCTCGGACTAACTCTGCATCCCTACATCTCTTATGAAGTGGTTTCTTCGAGTTCGGGAAGTTGGCTTATCTCACATATCAGTGGCCCCACCACTTGACCATTTCTACTGATTTGCTGGGAGGATAAGTGTTATTTGTTATTATATAAATGTCAGGCGCGTCGTCGTGGGGATGTCGGGTAATTGTCGGGTAACCAGAGCGCTGCTTTGCGCGCTCTTCCATCAACTCTAAGTTTGAGGTACTGAAGTAACACTCTCTTATTAGTCTACAAAATGTAAAGGAGAGAAGTTTTAGCCGCGAAAGAAAGTCACTGCGATAATGCGGATCCGCGTCTCTGTCATAACTCGAGTCCCAGGAGTTATCTTTTCTGGAATATTTTCCGTTCTTAGACTCAGATCTAAGATTCTTTGATTAAGTAGACAAAGTTCAGGGTAAAACTGATCTACTCCAGTTAGTTCTTTATAAGGCTCTCCAAAAGCTGTGAACTCACACAGCCTAACATCCCTTACCCTTGGCCAAGAGTTTTTAAAATTCTATTTATTTTCCACACGACTTATTATCTAAAGTTTCCTGAGTAGGTTCTTAACATCGTGAATCAGTTTTAGAGGGTGTATCCTAAAATCATTTAATCCTTAGTTACAGTAAATGAAATACATGTAGTGATGTCGTAAGTAAAGGACACTTCGGACTTTATATCTTCAACTCCTGAACCATTACTACTAGCGTCGCCATACAAACGAGGAGATACGGCTCGCTTAGCAACGTGAAGACCATTCTGCAAAAGGGTAGATATATTATTGAAGTTGTGGTCCTGGAAGTCGGTCTTCTCGTCAAACTAGCTAGAAAAGCTAATCTGGGAACTAGAAGCAAATACTTATGCTAGCGTATTCACCCATATCAGCTCCGCTAAACACTCCCCTAGAGATCATATCCATAAGCCCATTTCTACGACATACATATAAGCTCGATTGAAAGTATGCCTCATACATTTCTCATAAATTTGAGCTAGATCAACGATCCAATCGCAATCCAGATCACATAAACCGTGTTGGCTGGAAAAAAAAAGGATGGAATGAGAAACGCATCTGCCAGTACATACATCATTCGGGATGATGCCGGCATATCTTGGCGGGGTCATTGGTCGATCACCTCCACCAACCCCGCCAATCTAGCGTGTACTTTTGACCTCATCTCACCTCCGAGTCTTCCACACATATCAACAACCATGAGCGACTCAAAAGTCATCATCCTCACCGGAGCAGTAAGTCCGATCACAATTCCCCTAAAATCCACAATTGCTACATCGCACCCCTTATAAGCGCACACAATTCTCCTTGGTCGCGTTTGTATCTTCGTTGAATACTCCAACTCAGCCCATGCTCATGATTTGATATGTGTAGTACTGACGCAAAATGACATAGAGCCGTGGAATCGGTCTAGCTATCGCTCAATTCCTACTCAAAGCATCGCACAAGCTTGTCCTTGTCGCACGAACGGCGGAACCTCTTGAGAAGCTGAAGAAGGAATTTCCGGGTCAAGTTGAGGTTCTTGTTGCTGACTTGGCGGATTTTTCGGTATGTTTCTTCCGATTTATATTGAGAATCTGCTCTATGTATGTAGATCGCGTGGGGTTATGATTTTATGTAAAGAGTTGTCATACGGGTGCCATTTGTGATGGTCATTTTTTGATGTCGTTTTTTCGTCCTCCTTCTTTTCGCTTCTCTTGTCTCTTTTTTTAATTGAGATGAATACTGTACTATACAGCGTGTCTGCTCTTGGGAACATATCGAATCCGAACCTTTAGCTGTCAAAAGTTCCCCAACATTGCACATTTACTCCCATCACAAATTCGCAAACACCATTTCCTTACCAACAGACATCTCATTCATCTCGACTCCTTCAACCTCACGGTTTCTTCCATCAAAAGATTAACACCCACCCCACAGAACGGCCAAAAAGCAGTCGATCTCTGCCTCAAATCCTTCACCAAACTCGACTCCCTAATCCTCAACCACGGAACCCTAAGTCCCGTAGCAAGAATAGCAGACAGCACACCCGAAGAATGGAGATCATTATATGACACCAATTTCTTCAGTGCCCTCTCATTCGTATATCCACCCTCCCCTTGCCAAATTCTCAAAGCACTCGATAAGTACTAATATGGTCATGTTAATAAGATCACAGCAGCAATCCCATCATTACGCGAAACGAAAGGTCGAATAATAACCACCTCTTCCGGCGCAGCAGTAAATGCGTACTCAACATGGGGTGCTTACGGATCTTCAAAAGCGGCTTTACATCATTTAGTCATGACGTTGAAGAATGAGGAGCCGGATATTGTGTCGATTTCTGTGAGACCTGGGGTTGTTGATACTGGTAAGTTCGCTCCATCTCTTCCACAGATCACTTCCAAATGCAATGCCCTCTTCCCTTCCTAGTCTACTTCAACTCTCCCACCCATCCCATTCCCTACAATCAATCTTTCCACCCTTACACCTATTCCCATCAACCTACCCGCCCAACCCCCAACCCCCAATCCACAAATCAAACACACTCTAAACCATAAACGTACGAAACTTAAAAATCCCCCACCAATCCTAGACATGCAAAAAGAAGTCCGCTCCCACGCCCAAACCATGGATCCCAACGACGTCTCCAAATTCAAAAGCCTCTACGAATCCGGGAAGCTCTTGAGACCCGAGCAGCCAGGGAATGTGATTGCGAAGTTGGCTATTGGGGCTGGGAAGGAACTGGGTGGGTTGTTGTTGAGGTTAGTTCCTTTCCGTTTTTTCTCTTTTTGGAGATGAAAGGGTTTGAGGTTTTGAGATTTGAAGGAAGCGGGGCTTGGAGATGGTATGTGATTTTGGGATGATACTGATGCTGATGATATGTAGTTGGAATGATAAGGAGCTTTCTGAGTTCCAGGATTGATTGGCAGTGGGGGGAAGTGTGATGAGGGATAGGGGGTAGGTACTTGTATGGGAAGGAATAGAGATAGAGACACTGTACAAGCCATCAACCACAATTTCCTCAAACCACCACATAGCCCTCCCGAATAGCAACTCTGAACCGTTTCAAATTACACATTTACAATTATGAACCAATCCTCATTTCATCCCCAAAATCCCCATAAACACAAAAGCAACCCCCTCTCACCTACTTTTGCCACAACCCCCCCTTAAAAGACCAGCTAGTAGCTATCAACCACTCCCATTCCCAAAAGCCAAACTCTATATTGTTAGAAATAGCTTCGTATTCTTCTCCCCAATACACAAAGCGAACTGCCTATCTAATACCTACTCCTCCATTCCCCTAATCCCCTCTTCGCCTCTTCATCGTATCAACTGCCTTGCTCGACTTCTCAACAACTACCTTAGCTGATGGTTGGGAAATCTCTCTTTTCTCCGTTCATTTCATTCTTTTTTTTACCATCTTTCTTTCTTTCTTTCTTTCGCTTTCCTTACTTTATTCTCTTTTTAAAGAATTAAAGTGCTCAAATTCAAAAATTTCACAGAGCGGAGTAGGAATGGTGTATAGAGGTGTACGCAGCGCTCGGCAACTGGAATTCCATTCCATTCCATACCCCCCTCTGGAATATTCTATTCTACTTATAAGAAGGTCTAGAATATTCCATTCTATACCCCCTATTCCACTTGAATCCATTCTATAGAACCGAATCACATGACCCGGGGAAAAGTCCGGCCGCCCCGGTGTACTAATAGAAAGCCTATATTCGGTAAATAGTATTAGTAGCGAGAAGGTTAGGTGAATTATATGCCTTTGATATCAGGGTATAGGTTTAAAGTAAGCAAGCGACTATATAACGACGAAGAGATTAGCGGATTAAGGTTATTTTAGTATAGGTCTATAGTTAATTAACATTTACTCCTCTTAAATTTAGTACTATTCTCTAATTAGTCAGAATAGCCTCTGGAATTCCATTTTCCATAGAATTCCAGAGCCTTTTTGATGGAATTATCCATTCTATTTTAACGTAAAATAGAATAGAATAGGTTCCATCTGCCGAGCGCTGGGTGTACGTTACGTTACCTTTAGAAGTTGTAGTTAGATCATTATATCACATACTCTCTAGTTCCCTAGGTACTCGCAATATTCAATGGATAAGAGGTAAAAGGGTAATAGATTTATCTTTATCCTTTCTCTGGTTTTTCTTTTACTTTGCTTTCTTGCTTTTGTGTTACGAATTTGTTGTTAGTATTAGTGTTGGTGGTGGTGTGTTATTAGCAGAACTGTTTTTTAACCCAAAAGACCTCAGTCATCTTTAACACTACCATACCTCTTTCTAATTCTCATTCCCTTTCCCTTTTTCAAGACTGTACACACCACTTCTTATTTTATTTTTTCAAACAATCCATCATTCTTAAACCAAACCAACACGTTTCCCCTCTTTCCCTCCTCCTCCTCCCCCTTCTCCTCCACCATAACACAAACAAACCACCCACCTATTCACTCACCTACTCACCCCATAAAATCCCCTCGAACACCCTCCCCAATCCATACCTCTGAAACAAACCCACCTCCTCATCCACAAACCCTTTCACAACAATCCACCCAAGCGCCACACTCCTTCCTTCCCTTCTCTTCCCTCCTACCATTCCTCCCACTCTTGACCCTTTTGCTCATCAACCATCTACCCCTCCTTCAACCCAAGTACTTCTACCCAAGCAAAGTACCCCTCACTCACCCCCATACAATCTCCTATCCCCTATCACCTATCCTTATCGATAAGATAATCCACGATAAGATCCTTATCACCATCCCGTCCTTACCCTACGACGATCATATTTCAAGGATAGGATACTCCTTGGGTACAGTACATTAGTAAGTATCTTAAGTAGGAAGTGAGAAAGAAGTCTCTATTCCATCTTGTTCTCAAGAATGTGATTGATGTTGGGTAGGATTGAATGAATGAATGAATGAAAGAATGGGTTTTGCGCCATGGGGAGATTTTACGGGAGGAGTATGAGTAGAGGGGAGGAGGTGAGGTGCAGGAAAGAGACCCTACGTGCATTTCACAATTCTAATTTCAGACTTTCAGTTCGTTGAGGGGTAAGGAGTGTATGCAAGTCAGTCAGGATGCGGAGATCAGTACTCGAGTATATATTGCTATAACTTATCTAATTATCCAATTATCCAATTATCTAACTATCCAACTTACTCATACCTACCTAGCTAGCTAGCTATAGTTAGAGTACTATAGAGTAAATAAAGGAGAGTAGATAGAATATAGAATACAGGATGATATAATTTGTTTACTCTGTGTAAGCTGGTTACTATTGTAGTAAGTTATAGTAAGTACTTACCCTACCCTACCCTACCCTACTTATAGAAAATTACACCACGATCTACATTACCTTTCATTTACTTTACCATACCTAGGTAACTACCGATCCCTCATCTTCAACTCTACTGACTCTCCTCATTCATACTCGTACACGACGATGATATCCAGGAAGGTAATAGTGTCTCCCTCCCCATCCCCTCCCTATCCCCTCCCCTTCCAATCCCTCCCCTTCCTCCCCACCAAACTACAGTAAAAACATACTCCAGATCCTCCCGTTATCCGTCTCCGTCTCCCGCGAGCAAGAAAAGAACATCCGCCCGGGTGCAACCTTATCACTTGAATGTCTCACTCACTCACTCACCCACCCATCTACCGTCCTGAACGCAATACCCGACCTCTCCCTATCCTACATCCATACATTTCAGAAACTTTCACATGCTCACCCAGTTCTAAGACATTCCCCTCCCATCCCATAGACCATCTGATCCAACCAATCCACACCTCCAATTCACATTCAGATTTACATTCATTCTACCCAATCCAAGAGGGTGTGGGAACGTGGACAGGTGACCTCCACACCCACACATCCAACACCAAACCCCGAGGTCATGTCATTACACCCGGTATGGAGATGACCTGACCCGACCCGACCTCACCGAGCAAGAAAGGAAGCGCGTTTAAGCTCGAGTAAGAATCAGGGTATGGATGGGTATTGAGGGGTATGTCTTAGACATACCATACCAGAAGTAGATTTTATTGTAGAGATAAGGAAGGTGAGAGATGGTCGTATGAGTAGTGAGTAGTGAGTACCTTTCTGTGGAGGAAGGATAGATGGATGGTGTATTGGGTAGACACTAGAGGAGACAGGTGACATATGATTGAGGCACGGGATTTATGACTTTCTGGATTGGAGTGGAGGGGAGGGGATTGGACATCTGATGCTTAGGGACTCATGGGGTGATGGAGTGGATACAGTAAGGAAATGTTCCTCAATTCTGGGGCGGGTACTGAGCGTGAGGACTGTACATACAGTAAGTATGCAAATCAAGTACCTAGAAAGGACAGGTACAGTAATTGTTTCTGAGGAGGGTCACGGAGTGGAGTTAGGGTTAGGGATTGGGAGTTAAGGAACCTACCTACACATTTCGGACGGAGGTTGCAGGATGTCCGGAACCATGGAGTTCTAAAAATTGGAACGTCTAGTCAGGCCGGGGATGATTAGTCGTGCCACCGAGTGATTGGAACTTGAACAGAGAGAAGAAGAATGGCAACCTAACGGTCGTAAACGCGTCGTCAACATTATTCAAAGAAGAAAAATCGGGGCAATTACTCAACGTGGCGACTTTCATACGTGCCAACCACCTCATGTATACTATCCGTCCCCATCCATCATCCCATCCCATTATCGCTGAAGAACTGACTGCCGTTTTTACTGGTACTTTACCCCTCTATTCTTTGACACTTGTTGTTGACAATGATCCGAAAAAGGCCATGCCATGGTCGGACTCGGACTTTGCTATTAGAGTCTGTGGAAAGAGAAAAAGTCAATTGGCAACAACGCCACACAGGTGCTGGTGCGTGTGCTTATGCGCGTAACCTAACATTGCATCATCTCGGAAGTTGATGCTGTACAGGTGGTTCAGTTCATTTTTAGACTTTGGGCTGGTTCTGCTGGGGGTTTCGACAAGGGAAGCTGGACACGTGGTCGTGATGAAGTCGATCATCTCTTGTGTCAAGACTGTAGAGTGTATTGAAGGGGACAGGCTCAGGCGTACTGGCGACAACTGGTAGAGAAATAGAATGTGCTAGATGATGCGCGGGTAATTGAGGATGATGGAGATCAGACACTTGAGGGAGTGACAGGTGTACAAGCATACACGTCTCTACTTTCCGATGTCGATGTGGAGAAGCTTATGGATGTGGCGATACCTTTGTGGAGTGGATGAACCTAGTGATGAAGAGGGGAAAATTTAATGCCAATCCATTCAACGAAACAAAAAGCCTTCCGATGGTGGCATCAATTGGCTCATGGTGACGATGCGTGGCTGGCGATGGAGGAATCACAATTCGCATGGTGGAGGATTAAGAAGACTCCATATATCTGCAGGAAATGACCATTGGAAGCAGGAACAGCAGTAAGCGGCATCCACCATGATTTCCTACCAGGGAATGAAAGCAACCCAACCACGCAAGCAAGTACCGTACTTGTACAGAACGATACAATCATTATTCAGGTGGCAGTCTTTGCATTGAATTGAATTCCTGGCTGCGAGGCATTGGTTGGTCATTTGGGGCGAGGCAGCCAATGCCTGCGTTCCTTACCGCACCACCTAAGTATAGCATCCAACGAGCTGAAGAGGGGGAGAGTGAAGAGTGTGAGAGATGGCCCAATTGGGTAAGAAGCCCCTCAAATGCAGCAGTGTGATAATTGTTTGTTCGCCTCATGGTTGGTTTAAACAATTGATTGATGCCCATGGTTTCGGGTTCGTGTGTGACATTAGTAGTGCCGTGCAAACTTGGAATTGATGAGGAGCTGAAGCTGGCGATGGAGGGGTTGGGTGACACGGAAAGTGTGGAGAAAAGAGCCGCTTCCGATCGCGACGCTTCTCTGAGCAAAGGCTTGATGCGATGGGAATTGAATTTGCTGGTTACTACCTAGGTATACCATTGCCAGGCAGGTAGAAGTGAATTGGAATCCAATCAGTATTTTAATGTATTAATGTATTAATGTATTGATACTGTACTCGAGTATTGCTAAGGAATTCTATGCTGCGCATACGAAGCCCTCAAAGTAAGTGAGGTATGTAGAAACAGGCCTGACGGAACCTGGCGTAGGCTTGATACCCAATTGGGACTAGCGTTCCCCGTCTTTTTTTCCCTTTTCCCTTTCCCATCGCTTTCCTTCACTGACCGTAATGTTGATGGTGTTGTGAGTCATACACCTACTTTTTGCCATCGAGTCGGTGACGCGACGGACGCGACGCTTCTTTCCCTCTCTGTAGGGAGAGAGAGTACTACTACTGAAGTAGGTACATTTTTCGCCTGGCTTCAGCGCATGAATTGGCCCAATCTTACCAATCACTTCTGAAGCATCCTGCCAACTTGTCCACCCGCCCAACGGCCCCCAACACCGCCCATTCAACCCATTGCGGGCGCTGCGCTGCACGCATTGATTGGGCAATTGAGTTGTGTCAACTAACTGTTGGTTCGAGCATGTTCCAGCATTCCTCCCCAAAGCCAATTGCTGCCAGCTGCAACTGGTTCAGGGACCACCGTGGACGTGGATTGCTTGACTGCAATTGCTTCCCCAGATTCGTGCAGCCCTATTCGCGCGGTAGGGAATCCTCATCCTTCGCTAGCAGCCCTGGAGCATACCTATAGCCATAGCCGCCCTCAGCGAGCCATGCGAAGCTCTCGGTTCACGCCGCCAAACATCGGCACTGGCCTCTCGGCACTGGCAGTTGCACTACGAGTAAATTTACGCCTATCGACTACTCAATTGGATATTGGCCCTACCATCTACTCCCATCTACTCCCATCGGAGGCGGATCTGGAGGCCGCTTCACTCTTCCGCTTAGGGCCCACAGCTACCATACAGCTTCCATGGCATCCATCGCATCGCATCGGCTCCACCCCACACCAACACCAACTCTGTTGAATTGGTACTTTGATACCTCGCACCATGACCCACACTGAGGACTTCCACTCGGCGTCAGCAATCTTTCACCAGCCACACGGGAGCCGCCGCCTCAAACGCACATCTTTACATATTAACCGCTGCCTAACGTCTCCATATGGCCAGTGCCCAACGATAAAGCCTCTACCATTGGTCAATTGGTCCCATTCCACTGCGTTCCCTTGCTGCAGTTGCAATTGATGAAGCAAACCACCTCAGCGTCTTCTGCGGCACTGACTCAATGGGATTTGTGAGGCAGCCTCTCAGCGCGGAACATATCTCTGCCAAGAGAAAACATAAATTGAGAACGAGTCGAGGATACAAGGCGTGCTTGAGAGTGGAGGGCAATGAAGCAATGATGCCAGCAGCAACAACCAGAGCCAGCAACACGTAGGCAGGTAGATGTAGGTAAGGACACAGATAGCAGCAATGCAGGTAAAGTAGGCAGAGGCAGAGGCAGCAGATACCGAAACTGCAGATATCACAGGTAGGCAACCAGTGCTACTGCTTGAATCTTGCTTGATAGGCAGTTTCGGCGTAGGTGGGTAGAGGCGTTGAGCCGGCAGCAGAGCATGCCAGGTAGGTTGGCGTTGATAGTGTAGTCACGTACGCAGGCAAGCACACGCTTGCTACCAAGCACCTACGTACCTCCACTCCGGAGTTGTACACGCCCACTTGAGTCCGGGGGGAGCAGGCACGGTTTGATTATTGTATTTACTTCCCAATGCGGCAAGGGCGCCTGGGCCTCAGCCTGAGCCCGATCCCCAATTCCAAGCCTGAGCCTGATTGGCCCAGAGTGACCGACTACGACGACGACGTTTTCAGGTCGCAGTCGTAGTCGCACCCTTCACAGGTGTCTTGCTCCAGTTGTAGCAGACTCCTGGTAGCCTGGTCATCCGGTGGGGAGGGCTTCTATCACGAGGGGAGTCATCGCGAGCCCCCCTCCACTCCCCCTCCATGCTCCGCCCACACTCATACTCCAGCCACTGCACCAGTCACAATCGCGCATTGTGGACTCGGTAGACTCCCTCACCCCCCCCTTACGCACCTTGGTTCTGCCTCTGCTCTGCCTCTGCTCTGGCACATTTACCAGACTCCCTTATCCCAAACACTACATATTCCACCCATCTCTCACACTCTTCTGCTCTCCTACTTTGCTCCCAACTTCGCCCCTTCGCTCTTCGCTGCTCCCACACCGACTCCCCTCTCTCACGTCCCCTCTCCCCCTTTCACAACAACCAATTGCATTCCTTTGAGACAAGGCTCTCGCGTGCATTCTTTCAATTCACCCTCCGCAAGACAATCACAAACGCTCGCATTGACGGAATCACGTATCAAACAAAGAACCGCTTCCGAACTCAGCTGACCAACCCTCCTCACCACCACGACTTCTGCGCTGACTCTCTCGACTCTTCTCCAACAACTTACCCGCTTCTACACTCTCCATCGATATCTGCGAACTCCAGACGAACTCAATTGACGGAATTGAGAGGGCCACAATCTGCGACTGACGAATTGCCACACACGGCCAAGTACAAGGGGAGGCGCAGGCACAGCACTTCAGACGACCACTCAAAACCATGGATGACCAACGCAATACTCTGTTGCCTTCCGCAAGATTCGGTGACTCCTCCAGCCTGGAATCCAATTCCTATTCACGCACCATTCGCCCTGCAAACTCTCCACTCAAACACTCGCAACCCCAACATTACCCACCCACATCAATCAACGCGATTGTCTCCAACATGTCACACCCAACAATCCCACCACGCAAGAATCCCATGGACACTCAATCCAGTTTGATGTCCCCTCCAGAGCCTCTTCTGCACGACAGTTTCTCGCGACCCTCAACCAGCGATTCCAACATGGACATCTCCTACGGAAAACCCGCTGCCGCCCAATACGATCCTCCTCTCTCTCCCCCAGTCTCTCCCGAAGACTCCACCGGTACTCTAGACTCCCCATCGAATGCCAACCGAGACCCTATCCTCTTTCCTCAGGAGCAGGAGACTCAAGACGCTTCCTCCACCCACCCATCGTTGTTCCCTACACAGCAGGTAGTTGAGGACCACATTCGAAACCGAGACTCGAGCGTCTTTGCCCAAACCTCTCCCCCACGACGAGAAGATTATGATCTGGTCCTACGATGCCAAATGATGGGCAAGTTTGTACAAAACCCACAAAAGTATCAAATGCAAGCTTGGATCCAAGCAAAGGCCGACCAGGAGGCTCGACGAGGTGGTCCTCGCGATATCAATCAACTCCGACGATATACCCCAATCGCCCCTGCTTCCAATGGCTCTCGCAAGGCTGGAGGACGTGCCAATGGCCCACGAACCAGCCCAAATGGGGGAATTGCAAAGCCCCGAGTACCCAAGGCTCCCAAGGGCGATCGACAACAAACCCCGGACGTCGGAGGAAAGAGAGTTGCGAGAGAAGACAAGGACTTTGAGTCTCTTCCTGATTTCTCACCACCCATTGGCAATTCCTTGGATAAGCCAAATGCCCTCAAGATTGACTGGAAGGGTCAACCCATTGATCTCAAGAATGATCCTCATGCCGATAAGCTTCATCCTCATGAGCTTGCTTGCGCTGCCAACCTTCGCTTGGATTGTGCTACCTATCTTACCTCCAAACGTCGAATCTTTATCTCTCGAGTCAATGCTTTGAATATCCCCAAGGAGTTCCGTAAGACGGATGCACAACAAGCCTGTAAGATTGATGTCAATAAGGCTAGCAAGCTTTGGTCTGCCTTTGAGAAGGTTGGATGGCTCAAGCCCGAACTCTTTCAGCAATATGTCGGCAAGAAGCTGTTACCTGTTGAGGGTCATTCTGGAAACGCATAATTTGCTATCAAACCGCGCATGGCGTGGCATTTATAATGCTACTCGGGGAAACCTTCGTCGGCACTGTGTTTGGTTAACAGTCTAACCTACCCCTGATTCGACTCGGTCCTCCTCTAGAATTGATCAACTCAAATCGTGGATTTCCCCTTTGCACTACACGATACACAAATTGACGACATGTGACATATTTTTCGATATTTTCACATCAATCTTGATACACCACATGTAGGATTCACATCCATCGGGCATATTTGCACCTTTGCATCCAGAGATGACTAGAACTCCCAGTCAAGACTGTCATACATTCTAGATATTCAAAGGGGATGTTCATCATCATCACATCTTTTCATTTCGACGGCTATTTTCTTTACGATACTATGACTTGGGTTTAGGGACCGGGATTTCTTTTTTCTTTCGACACTCTTGCATACAGTTTGCGGCGGCACTTTGCATTTCATCTTTGTCTTTTGTTCTTTGATACCCCAGAGCTTTGGCCTAGCTCTATCACTCACATACTCTCGTTCCCCATCTGTGCATGATGTTTTTTCTTATGATTTCCGCACGGGGACTTTTTCTGATTAGTTTTTCCTTTTTGTTTGGCTGTGCTCTTTGTGTTTCGTTGCATTTCGGGTTTGGGGATCACTTGGGTTTGGGATATTCGGTACTGGGTACTGGGGGGTGTGATTGGGATATAGGCTGGATGGGATGGGATTGGATAGGATAGGATAGCGGGCGTTTTCTCTCTTTTTCTTTCTTTTGCAGATCGATATGTTTTTCGACTGGACTGCAGAATTTGATTGAATCAATGACTATACATTATTCTCATGCACACATACACATTATCTTTGCACATGATTTCGATTGGGGGGTTGGTAGGAGATGTGATGTATCTTTGCGAAGTGATCTTTTCTTTTGAATTCATTTGATTGGTGCTTGGTTTTCTGTCCGTAGGGGATTTGGGCTGCCTTGGCTTTTCTTGGTTGTGTGACTTTGAGGTTTCTGGCCGGTGCATGGGTAAGGTATGTGATGGTTTCAAACGGGTTGCTTTTTGATGATTTCCGGTGGGTATTGGTATGCGACGGAATGCGATGGAATGGGATGGAATGGGATGGAATGGGATGGAATGGGATGGAATGGGATGGAATGGGATGGAATGGGATGGAATGGGATGGAATGGGATGGAATGGGATGGAATGGGATGTAATGGGATGGGAGGGGAGGGGATGAAGGGGATGTACGGTAAATGATTGATTAATCGTTTTCTGGGTAGGTCGTTTTCTTCTTGATGTTTTTGTGTGAGGTGTGAGGGGTGATGGGTAGTAGTGTAGTAGTATAGTGGTGTGGTATGGATTGATGTAGTAGTGTAGTAGTATAGTGGTGTGGTATGGATTGATGGATCAAATGAATTTCTGTATATGTATGTGTATGTGTATGAGTAGTTTTGAGTAGTTTTTCTTTGGAACATGTTCTGTTTGTTGTGTCTTGCTTTTTTGGGGGGCTGGGGTGAGGAGAAGGGGGGGAGGAGTTG